TCCCCCCCCCCCCCCTATTACGCCCCTGGTTCCCCTTCCTGCGACGGAGGTTGCTATGGTTCCAGCATATTCCAGTCACTGGACAGTGAGGTCACCGGACAGTGAGGTCACCGGAAAGTCACATGCAAACTCCCAGGGTTTCCATGTTTTGTATTATTTTTTGCTTTATAAATCTCTCTGTAGGGATGGGCGATACCAGGATTTTTAATTCGATACCGATACCGATACTTTTAAGATCGGTATCGGCCGATACCGATACCTATTTCGATACCAAAATGAACACAAAATTCCAATTTTCGATACCGGAAATGAGTACTTAAATTCCTAGTATCGCTACTTTCGATACCTGCCGGTCAGCGGAAAAGCATGCGACCCCCCCCCCCCCCCCGCCAAAAAAATTTCTGTCAGTGTACCATTTTAGGGGTTAAAAAATTTTTTCGGACATACCCAAAATTTTCCGGACATCAGCAATTTTCCCCATTTCTCAAAAATTTTTTTCCTAAAATCCAAAAATTTTCCATAATTTTCTAACATTTTTGTCAATTAACAACATTTTTTCCAAATTCACACTTATTTTTGTAATGGAATCTTATTCGACCAAGAATTAAGTGAAATTAAACAAGTCATTTAATTAGAGAAGGGTGCAAGTATCGAACGATACCACGTCAGTAATCGATACCGATACCGCTGTTTGTGGTATCGCTGGTATCGAATACCGAGTACTCGGTATCGCCCATCATTATCTCTCTGAGCAAGTCACAAGACACAAGTTGAACATTTGAATGGATAAGTCATAAGGAAGACCACAAGAGTCTGGTTTGGTTCGTTTACAACATGAGCAAATGATTTTTACGTGTTGTACGTTTAGATCAGCGTAATGTGACTATATGTGAGTATCTCTGTTTATTAACATGTATTTATTTGTAGTAGTTCTATGCTAAAACTGCCAATGCCAATTTAGTATTGTTAGTAAACATGTTAAAGCCTTTCCCTAATCCAATCTTGTAGGATTATCAGGTTTTTTATGGCCTTTTACGAGCAGATTTCACCTCACAGTTGCAATGGAATTTAGACAGTTCAATTATTTTAGGTACTACATAGTGATATATATTAATTGATACATTTAGACCATACATATCTTTAATCGTGCTATATTAAAGCAAGGGGCTGATCATTATTGGCATATCAATATCAAATGCATAGTTGGGCCAAAAAAAAAATATGTGGGTTTCCGGTTTCCCGACCCTACCTAGCTTTTGGACGTCGAAATCCCGACCCTAAACTTTTTTATTGGATCATGCTTGTAAGTGTTTCCACTTAGAGGAAAAAGTTTGTGGAAAATTGAAATTTGAGGCAATATTAGGGAAATTTATCTTTGGATGTGGAAGCACCGACTAAACAAAATGGCGTCCGGTTGTTCGGAAAATTAAAAAAAAAGTTTAAAAAAAAAGTTAAAACCGACCTACCCTACCTAAGTTTTTATAAGAAGAAACCGGAAACCCACATATTTTTTTTTTGGCCTTGCAAACTTTGGAGAAAAATTTTGCTGGAGATTCCTGTCCGATTGAAACCGGAGCATCCCCCCCCCCCCTCCCTGCGCCAAAAACATAATCCTTAGAATGGCTCGGACTAGAAACTTGCTTCAGTAAAAGCGAAAGTGAAAAAATCAAAGCAACAGATTTAAACATTTTATTTAAGATTAGCTGAAATTATATGGGCGCCAACATTAACATAGTAGAAGATAGAATATTTGGTACAGTTTGGTATATAATGGGATATGATGGGATTATGTACTCATTCTGATGATTTAAAATTGAAAATGGAAAAAATAACTTCATTTTTCACTTTTTAAAAAAATGAGAAATATTTTTTATCAAAAATAAACTGATTCTCGTATTTCAAAATCGTAAAAAAATGAATGACCCTATAAAGACCCACAGATTTTTATGACAGATCTAGGGCTGTGATTTTACTATATAGATGATGCCTATATTTTGCGGGATACCAGTATCTAGCTCCGGCACTTCCCTTAACTTATTGCTAACTCTGTTTCTTTAGGAATTGTTCAGAGGATGCTTCTGCAAATCTTACTATCATAATAAATTCTAGCAAGGTTTAAACCAAGAAATGTCAACAAAACAAGATAAAAGTCTGATGATGCATGTGCGAAAGGGCATCTTCGCAAAGTACGAGAAATCTTTCAAAAGGACTCGGATATCGCCAACGGGCTGGATCAATGTAATTGGTTTCTTGGGCTACACTCCACTACACGAAGCTGCGTGTCAGTGTCATGATGATATCTTACAACTGTTGCTTATCTATGTTGGATGCGATGGTCATGCGACAATGGGATTTATACACCATTGGCATAGCATATTGCTGCGTCCATGGATTATGTGAAATGCATTAAGGTTTGTTTTTCCACCGAGACCAGTCAATGATCAGCAATGGTCTCAATTTTAGGTAGGAAAAGGCAATTGCTGCCGACAGTGCTGTAGTTAGAGTTACATACTCAGAAAAGGAACTAGTTACCGGTAAAAGTTACACAGTCATAAAAAAATTAACTACTGTAACAGCAGTTATTGTTGCAAAGTTACTTCTGTCATACACCTTTTAAAACCTTTTTTAGCCCTGGATGATAATCTCTTGGAGAACATGCTTTTATACCATTTAGTAATGTTCTACACATACAAGCAGTTAAATTAATGACTATACCTGATAATGCTGAAAAAATGTAATCATCGTCATGACATCATGGCATTCGTGAGTGCCAATCTCTATTGTCACGGCGCCTGGGAAGATCATCTCAATTCGGATGACAGGCCCCCGTGCTTAAATAAAGTTCACTATCTTCTTCGACGTAACATACTTTCACTGATACCGAGTATTCGCCCAATTTTTGTCCGCGAAAAGTGTAATTCACTGAGGAACTCTATTTGTTCACGTTGGACAATTAGCGTAGGTCTTCCAGGACCTTGCACAGCAGCGATAGGGCAAACAAACGATACAGCTCTGCCTTTAAAGCCAGGCGAGACACACTGGACGCCAGGGCCATAGGAACAGGGGGGCCAGGCCCCCACAAGTTTTGGCAATTGCCCTTTTTCCGGGAGCAAAGTGCCCTTTTTGCCTGAAAATTTTCCAAGGTGCACTTTTGAAAAGTTCAAAGTACGTTATTTCCTGAAAAATGTTTTAATTTCCCGAAAAAAATATCATATATCCGGAAAATTTTTTGGTATTCCGGAAAAATGTTCTCGTATTTAGGAAAAAAATGTGTTATATCGTGAAAATTTTTTTATGATATGTCCGGAAAGATTTTTTGGACCCCTAAAATGGTACACTCACTGACCGACCGGGGGGGGAGAAGTCGCCTAAAAAATTTTTTAAGATGCCTTTTTTTTTTGGAAAAGTGCCCCTCAAAGCCTGGCCCCCCAACTTTTCGAAGGTTCCTACGCCCCTGCTGGACGCGATTCGACAATGCGGCGCGATTTTTCGATTTTCACTGATCGATTACTTTGATCCTGGTTTAGGTTTTTCGAATATTTAGGCACGCTATAACATTTTGAGTTATTCGGTCTACATATCTTTTAAAATTTCTTTTCATTGGCTGTTTTATTAACTTTCAAAAACTGAAAAATCGCGCCGTGTTGTCGAATCGCGTCCGGTGGCGGTGTGTCTCGGCCTTGAAACGACGTCATTTCTAGAATTATTCGCGATTGTCTCAGAACGGTTTCTAATATTAAGTTAAAACCCTCTAGTATAGGATCGTGAGTTTTCTCAATGTTAGCAAGTAATAACTGTAGAGATTAGAGAACCAATACGTCCTCCAGGTGAGATCGTGTTGTTTCAAGATATTCAGACTCTGCCTCTCGTGCATTTAATCATATGATTAATATTGTTGCATTTGAACAATATTAAGGTAATCTGTAGGTGCCCGCGTATTTTTGCAGCGGTATTTTGCATGAATTGGAAAAGAGCGGGAAATTTTGTAAAATTATTTTGTTTATGTTAAATAAAATTGGAAATTGATGAGTTTTTGTTAGTGATGGGCGATACCAGAATTTCTATTTCGATACCGATACCGATACTTTTAAGATCAGTATCGGCCGATACCGATACCTATTTCGATACCAAAATGAACACAAAATTTCAATTTTCGATACCGGAAGTGAGTACTTAATTGCTAGTATCGGCTACTTTCGATACCTGCCGGTCAGCGGAAAAACATTTTAAATTACTGTGTGCAACCTAAAGCCCGAAACGTAATAAATATTTTCTATACATGACTTGGCGCACAACATTTGGAATATTAAGAGTTATTCTAGTGGTTCATTAAGTCTTATTCAACCAAGAAGTGAAATTAAACAAGTCGTTTAAAAAAGGGTGCAAGTATCGAACGATACCACGTCAGTAATCGATACCGATACAGCTGTTTGTGGTATCGCTGGTATCGAATACCGAGTACTCGGTATCGCCCATCTGATCAAAACAGACAAAAACTAGTGATGGGGCCCATCACTAGTTTTTGTCTGTTTTGATTAGTTTTCGCATGGCCGACTTGATTGTTTTTGTTACAGGATAATAATAGAGTTTTTGAATTCGGCTTACACAGCATATAAACGCTGACGTCGGTCTGAATAATTCGGCTCAGCCTCATCCAATAATTCTTAAATATTGAAAATAAAAACGCGCCCTGACTGAATTTTAATTAAAACGAAAAAAAAAACACACTGAATTTTAATTAGAATGATTCGAATATAAAAACTTGCATGTGAATTTTAATTAGAATGAAAGTAATAATATATACACTTAGTCTTATATTTAAAACCACCAAATAGAAAGGATATTTAAATCAAACTTATACATTGTATTTGTGACATGTGTAATGTAAAAATAAACGTATAGAACAAAAAATAAAACATATAGCATAAATATAAATATAATAGAACGAATATTTCTACAATGACAATGTTGATGGGAATGGCCCATCAATCATTATATGGAAACACATGTCATAATACTTAATCTTTATTAAGTACCTTATACTTAGCTAAGTACCTGCATTGTGGGAACAGAATTTTAAATAGCTTCTTCCTTCGATTTGTTTACACAGTGACATTTCCAGACACCTTTCTCGTCAATATTAAATCAATATTGTTTGAAGTTTTACGGTTACTTATCCGAAAACAAACTAGCTATTTTGTCTATAATTTTTTCGATTTGGCACTCGTCAACGAACAGTTATTTTTACGTTGATTTTACATATGAAAATTTCGAAGAAAGTCCTATAGGTAATATTTACGGAGTAAATTTGAACGGCATATCAGTCAGTCCTGGTAACGAACTCGTGTATCTGAGTTCCAAATTGGTGAGCGCACTAGAAACAATACTTTGTAAAACGTCAATCAAGTTAATTTATGAATTGTTCACAGGATCAAGGACAGTGTTTTGAGCACAGTCAGTTGAAAGGAAAATTCAGAATTTTCTAGTAGAATTTGGGAGTATATATAGTCGCTGGGAGAAGAGAAGATTCACAACACATACTGAAAAACATTACGAAGGATTTAGAACAGGTAAGGCATGACAACTATAAGGCATATTTCTAGCCAACAAAACGCATTAAGTTGCTCTATATTGAGCGCTACGTTAACGCTCGAGCTTAAATGAAGCTAATGACTCGGTAAGATCTCAGTTATCACCGAAGCAACGAAAGGCTGGGTCCTAAATGTTTGAAAGAATGCTTCCCATGTTTAACTATTCTGCATATTTATACGGTTTTAAACGTTGACATAAGGCTAGCTACATTTCAGGAAGCCATGCATGCATATGACATATTGTTTACAGTTTGAAAAATTCTGAACTCTAAATCTTTGGTTTAGAATCTTTACGCCTCATTGCTTTCAGCCTTTCACAAACAGCATTTGGATGCCTTAATTTTCTCTATTTTAATTCAAGACAAATCTGATCTGTAACTTTCCTTCCACCTTATAACTTTTATCAGTCCACAGAGCTTTATATCTAGTGAAAATCCTTCATTAGAGGTTCAAGGTGTTTTTATATAAGGGGTTAAGCTCGGGGTTAAGAGCAAAGCATTGAAGAAAGCAAAGTATTTATTGCGGTTTGCTTCGTCGCAGGAATACAGGATTGCAACCAATATATACCCAGTAACCCTGTAGGTTATATTGTAAAGGATATTCAGTTGCATGCAGACTTGCAGACCAGAATTTCTCGAAATAAATTTGGTTGCTAGAGATAAAATTAAGAAATAGCGAGAAGGTCAATAACCTTACGCGCTGACGAGGCCACGAAGGACGAAACGCCCCAACCGAGGATATCTGAATTACACACACATGAATATTTCCTCTTCTTCAGTATATTTCTACATGCTTCCACACAAGTTTTTTTATTTACTACAGCGTATACGTCGAAATTCTCCTTATATTTTTCAGGTAGTTGTATCCCTACCAAAGAAAGCCTGTTCATTCTCTAAAATGTCTTGACCGCACGTTATGATTTTTCAAAACACACTTTCTACACATATCAAGATTTAAACTTTTACTTTCCATATACAAGAATTTTACTTATTTTTATCACACATGGCATAAATTTGGCAGATTGTGACCAAAAACACGAGGCCATTACAATATCATATTTCACTCTACAGTTTTTGCGTTTCCACAGCCAGCTATTCACATATACGTTTATATTCAGTATATTATGATTCACGATTTTGATAGACCGCACCGTCCGCACGTTATGATTTTTTAAAACACACACTTTCTACACATATCAAGATTTAAACTTTTAGGTTCCATAGCCTACACCTTTTCACGCATTATTTGGGTTCACACAACAATTTTGCTTATTAGTTCATCACATGCACATGGCATAAATTTGGCAAATTGTGACCAAAGCTCCAAAAGTCGAAGTTCTCCTTGTATTTTTCAAAGAGTCAGTGTATAGCTAGGGGGGCAGGGTATTTTCGTGACTTGATTAGCAATTATTCGTGCTTCGTGATTCGTGATTTAAAGAAATGCCATTCCGTGAATAGTGATTAATATGTGTGCCGTGAATCGTGAAGAGCTAAAAGGCTAGGTATAGGGTTTTGAATTTACCAATATTTTATCCTAACTTGTGAATGTTTACGTTTACTGTAAAACTCGGCCCAAATTTAATATTTAGGGGAAAAAATGAATAAATTTGCTTCCCGCGGTTGTCTTTCTTGAGGTTTCTTCGTTTCATCGGTAAATGTCGTTATCGTATACCTTCGTACCTCTTCGTAAATGTTTCGTAATGCCTCGCAATGATTTCCATAGTCCTTTAAACGGCTCTAATGTTGAAGTCAGTATGTGTTAAATGGTTTCAGACTTTGTTACGCTTCTGAGCTTCTAAAAATCGTGAAA